TATGGATCTTGACGAAGACTACTTTTTGAATCATGTAGAATGTTCCTACATGATTAGGAAGGAAACTCTCATCAATAATGGCAAAAGCGAAAACAGCTACTGAACTCCAGAAACATATTTTCCTAAGATATCATTTTATAAATTTAAAACGGCTATAATACTGGCTGATCGGTCAATGAATGTCGAATGTTTCCTTATAAGGAAACTACTAATATTAGCATTAACATTTTCTATCAAATAGTTTTGAAGCATAAAAAAATGAAAGAGCGATAACAGCTACTGGACTAGAGAAACTTATTTTCCTGAAAATTTTTTTAAGAGAAACCTTTTATGAATTTCAACCGATTGTAAAATAAGCTACTCCGCCTAAGAATGTCGAATGTTGCCTTATAATGAAAAGGTTAATATTACCGCTACTCTTATCACTGATCGGAAAGATGCAGTCAACCACAGATCTCAAGTGAAGCTCATATATATGATCCACTGATAAAGAAAATGTTCGGCTCTCTATATCGCAAGTAGTGTCTGACATCTTTTGCTATGTTTTTTTTTTGTTTTGTTTTGTTTTTTGCAACAATCAAATTAGCTAAAATCTAGAATATTGCTACTATGTTTGAGCTGCAGCTATACAATCTTTACTTTACAGCCATAATAAAGTTCAAAATCGTTTACGAGGTTTTGAGGAGAATGAATTATTTTCCACTCTGCAAGCCCTTTCGCTACAGTGGAAAAGCCTGACGTTTACTCTATTGCTATTTCCAGGGCTTCGGTTTTAGTTCCACCAGTTCAGACCTTTACATCCAAGCCACGCGATGCTAGTTCCATCGACTTCATTTCCATTTATATTCCAAATGTAAGAAGCTAGTTCCACAAGGAGATTTTTTCCCAAAATGTGCCACTCTTTGGAATAGGCTCCCGCGTGGTTGCTTCCCTGAACAATTCAGTCTCGTCCATTTTAACGGTCGAACTTTATCTTCTTTTTTACCCGTAATCACCACTTCCTACTATTTTCTCTTTTATTTATATTACAAACCTCAGTAATCATTTCAATTCCTACTATAACCGTGTACTCTAATGTTCCCGTTCTGGGCATGAGGATAAACTACATCCGGCAGCAAGGCCTCTGATCGGGAGGTTTTAAGGACTGTGGAACTAGCTCTTAGTTTCTAGTGTTTCCAGGTCCATCCTGAAATCGACTAATTTATTTTGGCTTGCATCTGACCTCGAAGTTCAATCTCCGAAAATCTTAAAATATAAAGCTAAAATTCCCCCTAAAAATAATAGTCTTGTCTTGTAAACTATTATTTAAAAGAAATTGTCTACGCGAGAGAGACATGATATTTAAAAATTGTTCGATTAGCGTTAAAGCCTAATCTGTTGTCAAACCACTGTGAAAATATTAAAAAAATACATTTTCATAGTAAGCAATTATCAGCAATAGTTTCCATAATAAAAAATACTAGAAATGCATTTTTGAAAAAATAACAAAGAAATTAAGAACAATAGATTTTGTAAATAAAATAAATAAATGAATGAAATTACCCAAGCTCCCAAGAAAATTAAATTTTCACATTAAATGACCCATAAGGAAGTGATATGCCGTTAAACAAACAAACAAAATCTCGAGAGAAATTTAGTTTTAAAAAAGTTCTAACTGCATGTTCTAATGCATTTTTCTGTCATCCAGTTCTTTTAGACATTCAAAAGATTTTACAAAACTATTAATTCCCTACATACTTTTTTTCAAAATTAAAATCAGACTTTAGTTCAATGTCAATCGTAGAGAATTCAACTCGGTAATGTTCGACCCTGAAACTATGGGTTAAATATCAATGTTGGCTGGCCGCTCTAAACTTGCCTGGCAGCAAGTCTAGAAGAACTACACTGAATTTAAAACCGCGGAGAAAGCAACGGGAAATAACTCTCATTATTGCAGCCACGCCCAACCGTGTATTAGAGGCCAGATCAGACTTGTCTCGATAGATTTGAATTGTAGCTATTTTAGAAGAGAAGTACGTTTTATTCCAAAGCGTAACCACAAATGAAGACCCCGCCACTAACTTTCCCAATAATCCATAGAAATTCATATAATGAAACGTAATAATGTATAGCCCCTCATGCTAGAACGTCAACGGCGCCAATTCAATACAATGTTGCATCTTCTCTCTCGGCCGGTGATCGTTATTTGAAATGAAAGAACTTCAACACGGGTATGAAAGAACTTCAACACGGATAGTTTTAACTTAACTATTTTATTAATGTCAACATGTACTGACTATCTAGTCAGGATCATTCCACCTCACTGGGGAGCCGTTCCAGACACGAAAGTGAACACGTCTACATTGCTTGACGTGTAAGAACCAACCCCTGAAGAACATTTTTAATCTACCATTCCCAAGCTAGTTCAACCAATCAAAATCGACTACCTTATTTTGGCTTGCATCTGACCTCGACATTCAATCTCCGGAAGCTGCAGAAGAGATAAAATTCCCCCTGAAAATAATAGTCTTCTAAATTATTATTTAACAGTAATTGCTTACGCCAGAGGGTCATGATATTAAATATGGTTTGATTAGGGTTATTAATAACTGAATTAATTGAAAAAAATATAATGTTAAAAAAAAAAATAATCGATATTTGTTCATCTTTAGGCGACGGATTTATTGATCTATCTACGTATTGGACTATCACCTTTTTCACAGCGTACGCATGTCCAGCAGTCGTTATCAGATCCAAAAAGTTTTCGGTATCCCGGACGACAATCATCGCTGCAACGAGACGTGAGAAGTTTGCCTCCTTTCCACACTGAAATGAAAAGGATAACAGATATTAAACAAATCGGGTGGGGGTGGGGGGAAACTGTAGGTTTTCCTGTAATTATTCGAATTTAGCTCCAGATATTAAAGCAGTGAATTAGATAATAATTTATAAATGTTGACAAAATTCAGTTAGCCGAATCGACCAGACAATAATTTGCTGTAGATCAGAGGAGATTTGTTGCCGTCTCATCTTAACTGAAAATCATAATTTACAAATGGTCTGGAAACTGAATGAGGAATAATAATAATAATAATAATTGCAATAATTACAACAACAGCAACAAGAACAAAAAATATAATAATAATAACAACAACAATAATATTAATAATAATTGTCACAAAGATTAGGGAACTGGAGCATGGTGAAGCTTATAAGTACTTAGGAATTAGCGAAGGAGATGGCATACAACACCCCCAAATGAAGGAAAAAATAAGAAAAGAATACTACAGATGTGTACGTCTGGTACTAAATATTGAGCTAAACTCAAAAAACGGGATATCAGCCATAAACACATTGGCTGTCCCTGTGGTGCAATACAGCTTTAATGTCCTTAACTGGACCATAGCTGAAATTAAGCGAATGGACGCCAAAACGAGAAAGCTTCTCACTTGCTATCGCATGCATCATCCCAAAGCTGATGTTGATCGTCTGTATGTGCCCAGATCCGAAGGAGGCAGAGGATTAGTTCAACTAGAACTGTCCTACAAAACTACAACAATTAGCCTCCAAAGATATTTGGAAACTACAGAAGACTGGATGATGGTATGCGTCAAGGAACATGAAAGTAGTAAGCGTCTCTACTCCGTAATGAAAGAAGCCAACAAATTCAAAATGGAGTTTCAAATGGGCGTAGAGGTGCAACTACAGCACAATACACCGGCTGAAACTGCAAAATACCTAAAAAAGACAGCAAAGACGAATGCAACCGACCAGTTACAGAAGCCATGGCCAATACTCTGCCCGTACCAAACAAGCTGACGTAGACAAAACCCGTACCCATCAGTGGCTACGTAGTGCAGGGTTGAAAGCGGAAACTGAAGTTTTTATCCTTGCTGCGCAGGACCAATGGTCCAGTTAAGGACATTAAAGCTGTATTGCACCACAGGGACAGCCAATGTGTTTATGGCTGATATCCTGTTTTTTGAGAAGGCCAACCGGCCAGATATTGTTATTAAAGACCACAAACAAAAACGGTGCCTCCTTATTGATATGGCAGTTCCTGCTGACTGAAATGTATCTTTGAAGATATTCAAAAAGTTGTCAAAGTACAAGGACCTTGAAATAGAAATCTCGAAAAAGTGGCATATGGGAACATCAACAATCCCTGTTGTAGTTGGAGCCCTAGGACTGGTTGGAAAAGATTGCAGTAGACTAATTGAAGGGCTTCCTGGAAGTCCATACCTCAAGGAGATACAAAAAATTGTTCTGACAAGTACAGCCCACACCTTACGAAGGGCTTTATCTATGTAATTTAATTTTTTTTTTTTTTCTTGTCAGTGGAAAGTCATGACGCCATGTCTAACCTTAGTCCCTGGGCGGGACCCGGAAAGAAATGTCTAAACGCCAGAAATCAAAGAAAATAATAATAATAATAATAATAATAGATCAGATCATGGTACCAGAATGGATGGTGGGAGAGAGGAAAATCCTTATAATAATGAAAAAAAATCCGTTGTAATGAAATATAAATATAAGGCAATTTAAGGACATAATGCTTGCTTGCTGTCTATGTGAAATTTGTTGAGAATACACAATGATAAGATTTGCTTGTTTCTTATTGAAAATAATCTTCCTGATGAGCAGAAGGGATTTCGTAAGAGTTCACGATGTTCTAAAGACCAAACGTCTGATTGACAAGGCGATTCTTAAGAATTGCAGGATGCGCATGACGAAGTGGTCTAAAGTCTATTGCTGGATTTATTTATTTTTACGGCTTATCAAGCCGTTGCAGGTTATTTAAAGTCAGAAAATATTTAAGAATGTAATAATATTTTTTTAGATAATGATTTAGCAAACCAAGTCTTACTAATTAACCCGTAGCTGGGGAGAAGAGTTGCTTTCTTACATTTCCCAAGAGTATTTGCGCTTAAGTGAATATAACCAACACAACGGGAATTAGAACTCGACACTCCGGTTTTCAATTTCGAGCTATTATCCATCACACCACCCGCACAACCAAGATTACAGCACCTGATATTCCTAAGAAGGTCACCCATCTAAGTACTGAACATACTTGCTTAACTTTGGTGATCGTACGGGAACCCGTGTTTCCACGTGATATAATTGTAACACGCAACGCATAGGATATGGTAACCGACTTGTGGATCTTAAAATGAAAAGATTTGGTTGATATGGGTAAAACATTGAAAAACATTTAGAAAACAGTAGGCTCATTGGTACACGCGTCTGGGGACCGCTTGTGAGTCCTAATTCCAGCTGAAACTCGCACATCTGAATGAATACGAACTCTGCTCTTGGTCAGCTTTCGTTAGGATACGGCGTCAAGAGAAGCTCAATGCTCGATAGGGAACGAGAGGAGCTAACTGAACTGATGATTATTAACATCGAAAGGAAAAAAAAAAACTTGGCAAATTAAAGTTCAAGAGTGGGATTATGTGGAGTAATGGATCGCGGCTCAGATTGAGGAATCGAAGCGCCGATTTCGTATTCCAGTCGAATCCATGCTAATACCTCTGAGAAATGGGTAAAAAGCAGGGCAGACCGTGTTTCTTTAGCCTTGGATGGCAACTGGTCTACTGCAGAAAGAAATGCCAACCTACTGCGGGAAAAGAATTTGCCTCGCTAGTAATGTACAGAAAAATACGATTGCCTACGCGTGTATCACATATGGCACATAACTGAAGGCGAATTCTGGCTACAAATTTGCAAACGATGAGAAACAGCCTATGAGCCACCGGCTATTCATGAATAATCTTAAATTTTATGCTACCAGTTAGGCCTTATCGATAAACACCGTAAGAACATGCTCCCAGAATATCAGGATATCATTTAGACTTTATAAGTGCGCTGTTCTGGAAATGAAGAGCAGAAGAAAGGTGGACAGTGCAGCTATAGAGCTCCTTTGAAGGAAGTAGATAGCATTGGCTATAAATATCTCCGAGTTTCTATCGCTGGTCAGGACTCTTGATGACAAGATGAAATCATAGATACATTATATTCGGCGTGTAGAAACGCTTTATATATCCAAGTTGAATGCTGGAAATTTGGTTTCAGGCATCAATATTGTACCTATGCTTTCGTGTTCCAGTTAACCCCTCCAAAACAAAACTGCTCCCTATTATTTATCTGAGGGACGCCTTTCTGCCTTCAGTCAGTGTGGCTGATGCTAACCTCCAGGAGAGTCAGGGTAAAGAACCTTTTTTTCTAAAAAATGCTCTTCAGTCAGGAAAATTATTCTGGGGTAACTAAGAAATTATTTGTACCTATTTTTCAGTGTCGTAATTTTTTCTTTTTTTCTTTCAAAGGCGTTTCAGTCAACATATAAACCTTAATCTAATTTGGCATAAAGTCAAAGGGAAGATAATGATAGGAAGATTGCATTACACTTTCCTTTTATGTCGAAAAGGTTTGCTGACCTTTCTTGAAATTAAAAAAAAAACCTGGTTTTATGCTAACCTCCAAGTGATTGATTCATTGCATCTTCTCGACTGGCATGAAGAGGAAAGACTATATTAAATCCATTGCTAAGAAAGTTGGTTCACTGTGTCATTTTTCTCTCCAGAATCTATCTTACATATCTATAAGTCTACCATTCGCCCATGCATTGAACATTGTTGCCACCTCTGATTTGCTGCTTTTACTCTGTATTCAAAGATCCCTGATAAACTCCAAAGAAGAATCTGCAATTTTATCAGCTCTGGTCTGGTATCTAGACTTCATTCATTTACCCGACGACATAATGTAGCTTGCCTGTGTCTATTCTATAATTTATTCGCGGTAATTTTCCTGATTAACTTTCCTCTTTGCTACCTCGACTTTAAGCGCAAGGCTTGATTGGTAGCTAGATTCTATCATTTTAAAGTTACAATGGCTCGATGTAACCGCAAGTTCTATGCTAACAGTTTCTTCTGTCTCACTTCTGGATCACTCTTCTGGCTCCTTGATTTCCATGCGACTTTGATCTTCAAAAAATTAAACGCGCTATCAATCGTTATCTTTCGTCTTCTTAATTCCGGATTATTCTTCGAATATTGTTGCTGCATTTGGTTCGGTGCGCCTGCTATATACTTAGAAATTCCTGTTAAAATCCAAAGAAGAATCAGCAATAATACTAGTCCTGACACTATGTCTTGGTTTCAGTCACTTTCCTATTGACGTAAAGTTGATTCCTTGTGCTTTTCTATAAATACTTTCTTGGTAATTGTTTGAATGAACTCTTTGCTATGGTACCTAGACTTTATGAATTTAAGTGCAGTCGTCAATAGCCAACAAACTCTAATCAATTTACAGGATGAAGAACTGTTGTTTTTTCCCTTAAAAAGCTCTTCAGTTAGTAGCTATTCTCGAGCCATTAAGAAATTCTCTGTGCTTTTTTCTTTCATTGTCATGAGAGATTGTTTTTTTTTGTTTCTTTCAAAGACGTTTCCGCACATATAATCCTTAACCTAAACTGGCACACAGTCAAGGTGTAGATGGTGACAGCAAGATTGCATTACACCTTCCTTTTATTTAAAAATGTTTGCTGAACTTTCTTGAAAGTCAATATAAAAACATGCTAAGCTCCAGTAGAGTGACTTGTTGCACCTTCTCAAGCTAACATACTCGACTGATATGAAATGGAAAAGTTATAATGAATCCATTGTTCGGTTTGCTGCTAAGAATTTTGGCTCACTGTGTTATGCTAGACAATTTTTTCTCCAGAATCTATCTTACATATATCTATATGTCTACCATTGGCCCATACTTTGAAGATTGCTACCATATATAGTCATTTTCTTTTGCTATATATTTAGCGATTCTTGATATAATAATAAAAAAAGAATCTTCAATATTATTGATCTTGACCTGACGTCTCGGCTTCAATCACTTTTCCACCACTATAAATTTGCTTCCCTGTGCCTTTTCTATAAATACTGGTAATTGTTCTGATGAGCTCTTAGATATGGCTTCAAAATTGAAGCCACGCTGATCAATTTAGCTCATTTCAAGGCCTTAGTGTTGAACATCGATTTCTGGAAGCTATCCTTCATGCGTATTTTTGCACTTGGATCCACCTTCTGTATGCGACTCCCACAGACATTAAACAGGAGTGAATATCAATGGATACATAAATTATACACACTAGACAATGCCATTTCCTAAGAAGAAAAATGGGTGGAGAGGTAATTTAACAAAATGCTAAAAAGTTACATGCTTTTGAGTTTCCCACATAAAAATTTGTATAGTTGATAAATAGATAGCTTCTTTAAAAAAACAGTAATTAATTTAAATGTATAGAATTACTTGGTAAATTAATATGCAACTGTTGAATAAAGATTCTTCATATGCAATGTTAATAACAAAAATCAATCGATTTAATAATTAAAAAATACCAACCAAATACCAATATACCGGTACACGATATTACTAATACTACCAGGAGATTAATACAAAATTATATGAAATCTACATTATATATATATATATATATATATATATTATGGAATGGACTAAGTTCAACAGTTATTTTAATATATTTTCAGTTTATACATTATTTTTATAGACACAATTAATTAAGTAACTGCAGTGTTTATAATAAACAGTATTAATTTCATTTACCGGTAAATTTAATTAATAAAAGGAGCATTTTCTAAAATAATCGTATCAAGAAAAATTAACGTATAAACAGAAAATACATCCACACACACACACACACAGACACACACACACACACACACACACACACACACACACACACACACACACACATATATTTAAATCTTACCAATATCTTCAGTTTTTAGTTCCAGGGAAGACCGATTCCATTGACCAACGTCTCGGAATCGTAGCTTTCCGTTTTTGCTTTTCTGAATATTCAAAATAGTGAATGATCCGAGAGCGTCTCCATGTTTGTCAAAACGAACTTTGCCTGTAGCCCCCTGAAACTCTGTGTCCACAACTGCGCTGATCATTTCCTCGTTACTGATGCACCTTTTCACGCATGCGTTGTTTTTACAAAGCAGTTTCCTCAAAGCATGCACAATGACATAGACAGCGTCTCTCACGTAGGCTGTAATTGTCAGGGACCTAGAATCAATACCAAATAGTTCTTCTAGAGTTTTGTTGGAGTATGATACCGTTTCTTTATTCTTGTGCTCTTTGACCAGTTTCCCTTTCTTTTTCCGACGACTTCCTGATTTCTCGTTTTGGGAATACTTCGATTTCTTCAGCTGGACAAATTCCGAGAACCAAGGATTTCTTTGCGAGGATTCCTGAACCGTTTGAGTCTTGAAAAAATGGGAGAAGTCATCATTTTTACGACAGAATGGACTCATTCCAAGAGAACCTTTCATCATTGAAGATGGTAAGTTAAGAATCAAGTTGCTGCTTGTCCAACTTTCCGTGCCAAAAAACGTCTTGGAAGTGAAATTGTGCTTTTGGAATTCCTTGAAAGAAAAAATTCAGAGTTATTAATGTCTAGTCTTAAGGCTCTTCTATTTTAAATGACAGGTACTATTTTGTCGATAATATCAATAATTTCGTCATAGTTCCAAATTTTGTGTCATTTACCTTGATCCCGTTATTACCTTGTTCCTTGTTTCTCTCCCGTCTTAAAGGGAGCCCTTTCTTGCTGTAAGGATAGTGCACCCATGGAAGGTCTGAGAAAGGACCTTCCAAAACATTTATATATAATAGCTATTATTTATAAACTTTAAGCATATATTTATATGGGTGGTGGGATGAAAAAAAGCAATAAATTATTAAATTGAATAAATTTAATACAATTATTTAAATGACGTGTTTCTTCTGATAATTGGTGATTTTTCAGTTTTTACTACTCCTTTTTATAAATTTTTACGGGGACTAACTCTTCTTAAGGCTAGGGATACGCATTATGCTAATTTAACGATTGACCTGAGTGTAAAATAAAATAAGATATACCACGTCATAAGCTACTTTTTTATTTTATTTTAGTTGTTTACTATAAACGCTTTATTTCTTAATACTAAATAGTTTACTTCACAAAAAATCCTCCTCCAGGAGTCCAATGGTCGACCGTATTTTTTTAACGAAACACAATTTCATTATTATTATTTTTTAAGGCAATTCACCCCAGCAAGG